TCCCTTGTACTGCAAGCTACCTCCGCCTCAAACTCCTGATCGTCCTTTTCTGCCTCCCCAGCGCGCTGGGGTCACAGATGCACACTGCCATGCTTGGACAACATACTTTATCCCCTCTTGAATTCCTTACAAATGTGTTTCTTTGTTCTGGGTGTGTGTACGGCACATGTGAGTGTCCGAGCACAGCTTTGGGGAGACATGTCTCCCACCATGTGAATCCCCGCAATCAAACGCAAGCCAGCCACTTAGCAGCAAGCTCCTTTCTTCACTGACCCATCTCGCCTGGCCTGTATTTTGCTTTTTGAAGATGATGTTTCTCTGTGCTTCCCTGGCTGGCTACCAAGCAATCCTCCTGCCTCACCCTCTCCATTCCCTGGGCCCTCAGGCATGTGCCACCGCCCCAGGCCGTCCTATCCTTTAATAACGTTCCAGCACCTTCAGCAGCTAATTTAGATATTCTGTGTCCCTGGAAAACATGCCCTGTGCCTGCCTGATTTCCTTAAATGGTCTTGTGTTTCAGAAAAACAAGATTCTCTTTCTGTTTCTTGTTTTTTCCACTTTAATTTTTTTTTTTTTTTTTTTACACTCCAGTGCTGGGACAGGGCTGTGGACATCTTGCAAGCCAGGCAAGAGCCATGCTGCTGAGTGCCTGCCCCCGTATTTTATTACCTCTATTAATTTAAGGGTGATGGGGGTATTTGTGTGGCGGTTAGTGGGCAGTTTGGGTGTGTGTGTTCTCTTCTTCCACATTGTGGGTCCTAAGGATCAAACTCAGGTCACCAGCCTTGGCAGCAAACTCCTTTACCGACTGAGCCACCTTGCCAGACCTGTGTCTAGCTGTTTCTCCATGGGTCTGAGAATCTGAATTCAGGCTGTCCGTTCTTGTGGCTAATCTGCTGAGTCATCACACCAGCCCCTTTGTTTTTCTCTTAGATAAAGTCTTGTGCAGGTTAGCTTCAAACTCACCTTAGCTGGGGCAGACCTTTGACCTGTCATTCTCCTGGACAACCTCCCAGGTGGCAGGGAGGCAGGCCTGGAGAAAGGGGTGGGAGGTGGGGGTGCTGAGCACATGTGAGCGTCGTGTGTGGCAGTCAGTGCACCCACAGAGACTGGTTTGAGATGGAGTGTTTTGTTTGCTCCTTTCACTCCCCTGCTGGCCGACCTAGGGTTCTAAGAAGTCTCCATGCTGTCCCGGGATCACAGACAAACATGCCAGGGTTTGGGGATTTGAATTCAGATCCTAAGGCTTGCACTGCAGGTGCTGTGCTCACCAAGGCACAAGGCGGTTTTTTAAAAATTGTTACATTTTTATTTACTGGGGGAAGGGGAGTGTCAGAGGCTAACTTTGAGGAGTCAGGCTTGGCAGCAAGCACCTTTACCCTTTGAGCCCTCTTGCTGGCCCTAGAAAAGATTTTTTTCCTGCTGTTATTTTTGACCTGAAGCTGTTTGAATGCATGGATTCAGAGTGCCGAGGTACCCACCACTGTAGGCCTGCTGTTGCTGCTGTTGTTTTTGTTTTGCTTTGGCTTGTTTTTTCCAAAACAGTGTTTGTCTGAGTAGCCCTGGTGGTCCTAGAAGTCAGTGTGTAGACTAGGCTGGCATCAAACTCAGAGACCCATCTGTGTCTACCTCCTGAGTGTTTGGACTAAAGGCGTGTGCCACCACCTGATGCTATTTCAACATGTGAACACCCTGCTGGGGCTGGAAGGAACCTTTTAAGCCGAGTTTGTTTATTTGTTTGTTTGTTTGTTTGTCTTCTTTCTCTTCTTCACATGGGCTCTTGCACATATACATACGTGTGTGTGTGTGTATGTGTGTGTATGTGTATACATATGTATATATACACACACACACATTTACATGTAGGCTGGACTCGTCCATGTTCTCTTGCCTCAGACTTCTATCCTGGAGCCTGGATTATAGGGATGAGCCAGCACACAGACTTTAACAGGTTTACTGTTATTCCTGTTTTTATTCTTGAGGCGCATAGTTTGTTTGGAGGAGGCAAGCATGTTACTACTGAAGGCGTGCCAATGTCAGACGCTGGTCCTCACCTTCTGCTTCTCTCATTTGCTGCTGGTTCCCCAGGCTAGCCCATGGGCTTCCAGTGGTTTCCCCATCTTGCCATAGGAACCCTGGAATTGCAGACTTCTACCACTATGTCCAGCTTACACACAGATGAACTCAGGTCGCCAGGGAAGTTCCCTTACCCACTGAGCTGTCCTGCCAGCCCTCCAGCCTCTAGCATTTAAAGTCTGGAGCTCTAAGCCAGGCATAGTGGGGAATGCCTGCTATCCTAGCACCCATGACTGAGGCAGGAGGCTCTCCAGCACAAGGCCAGCCTGAGCTATAGAGAAAGACCCACAAAACAACACCAGCCAAAGCCTGAAGATGTAATTCTGAGGATGCAGGCTCAGAATGCAGGAAGTGCTGAGTTCTGTCACAGAACTTGGAAAGTAGAGGGCAGTGAGTTCAAGGCCAGCCTGGGCTACATAAGACTCTCGAGCAAGCCAGAACCAGAGCTCAGTTAAGAATACTGCAGTAGAGCCGGGCGGTGGTGGCGCACGCCTTTAATCCCAGCACTTGGGAGGCAGAGGCAGGCGGATTTCTGAGTTCGAGGCCAGCCCGGTCTACAGAGTGAGTTCCAGGACAGCCAGGGCTATACAGAGAAACCCTGTCTCGAAAAACCAAAAAAAAAAAAAAAAAAAAAAAAAAAGAATACTGCAGTAGAAAGAAAAAAAGAGAAAAAGAAAAGAAAAAATTAGCCGGGCAGTGGTGGCACACGCCTTTAATCCCAGCACTTGGGAGGCAGAGGCAGGGGAATCTCTGAGTTCGAGGCCAGCCTGGTCTACAGAGTGAGTTCCAGGACAGCCAGGGCTACACAGAGAAACCCTGTCTTGAAAAACCAAAACAAAACAAAACAAAACAAAAAAAAGAATACTGCAGTAGTGTACAGAACCTGGGTTCCATCTTCAGGAACACAAAACAATGATAATAAATAGTAAATGAGAAGTTTGACACACCCAGCACTGGCTCCTGGTTCACAAAGTAAATTCAGTTCTCTGTCAGCTGGGATCACCACACCCCGGACTATACTGCTTTTGGACAGGTTTGTAGCCAAGTGTCCCACCCCACCCTGTCCTGTCCACACTCAGCCTGTGTAGAGAAAGCACTTAAAGCTCCTGGCAGAACTCGAGGAGGTCCCAGGAACTTCAGGAAGCAGTGAATTGCTTCTGTTACAAAAAAAAAGAAAGAAAAAAAAAACCCAAAAGTTAGTGGTAGTAGCTCCTACCTTTAATTCTAGTGTTTAAAAAACTGGGGCCGGCCCCCCCCCCCCAAGAATCAGGGCAGCCAGGGTTTAAAAATTGAGACCCTCTCCCAAAAAAAAAAACTTAGATTTAAAAAAAAAAAAGTAATGATTAAAGAGAACTTCCACTCCTGGGCCCTCAGCGAAGCTCTCCTCATAGCAGGAAGCAGATGCCGTAAGGAAGGAGGGACACAGAGCTTCAGCAGGAGGAGGAGGCCACAGCCAGCAAGGTGAAGTGGAAGTGCACTGAGACCACACTTGAGGCTTGGGTACTGCACGTCCTTGGAGACTGGGCCCAAGAGATCACGGGTGTTGGGTGATCTCAACACTCCTGAGACAGAGGCCAGACACTCTCTGATTTGGGTGCTAGCGTGGTCATGTAGTGAGTTCTAGGCCACCCAGGTTACACCATAAGACCTTCTCTGAAAAAAGAAAAAAACAAAAATAAAGTGCTGAGAGATGGGGACAGCAGTTAAAAGCACCGGCTGCTCTTGCAGAGGCCCAGGTTCAATTCCCAGTACCCAGATGATGGCTCACACCATCCCGTTCCAAAGAAACTAATGGATGCTGTTTCTCTTCTATGCAGGCACCAGGATGCACATGGTGCATAGACAGACAGACATTCAGGCAACACATACATATGCACACATTAAAAAATGTTAAAACTTAGAATAATGATACTCGTGGTAGAGGTGCCCCCTTACGTGTGTGTTACGTGGGGGTGGGGGCTGCGTGGAGAGAGCAGTGCTCGTTCACGGAAGCCAGGTTGTCGGCCTGTACAGCAAACGCCTTTCTCCTCCTTGCTGGGAACGCCGTCTTGGTGGCCACCGCAGCAGCAGGAATCTCGTATTGACAATGGTCTGCAGTTGACCATCTCCAGAGCTTACTTCTTTTTAATCGAGACAGTCTGGCTACGGAGCCTTGACTGGCCTGGAGCTTGCTGTGTAGACCAACCTGATGTCAGCCTCAGAGAGCCCCCGCCCCTGCCCCCGCCCCTGCCTCTCCAGTGCTGGGATTAGAGGCCTGCACCACAGCACCTAACCTACTGCACGCTTATCTTCTCCAAGTAAAATTTTGGCAGAGCAGGGTTTTGATTGGCTTGGTTGATTGGTTGTAGTGCTGAGATTGGAATCGAAAGCCTCACACTCTAGACAAGTGCTCTACCACCAAGCCACGCCCCAGCCACGCCTCCAAGCCACGCCCCAGCCCCTCACTGGGGATTCTAGGCAAGCACTTATCACTGAACTATGTCCCAGTTTTTAAAATAGTTTATAAATGCAAAGTTTTTCAAAGGTATGGTGGTACATGTCCCTAAACTTAGCGCCAAGGAGGCAGAGGCAGGCAAATGACCACAAATCCAAGGACACCCTGAGCCATGGGATGAGTGAGATCTGGGCCAGTCTAAGCTATACAGGGTCTTGGAGAATATATATGTGTGTGTGTGTATCTTTTTTTTTTTTTTTTTTTGGTTTTTCGAGACAGGGTTTCTCTGTGTAGCCCTGGTTGTCCTGGAACTCACTGGTTGACCAGGCTGGCCTCGAACTTACAGAGACACTTCTGCCTCTGCCTCCCAAGTTCTGGGATTAAAAGTATGTGCCACCAGTGCTCAGCTGTGGCCAAAGTTTTTAATTACATGTATATATTTAGTGAATGAAGGTGTGGCTCTGAGTGTGTGGGGCTCTTGTCTTGCCAGGTGTTCCGCAGTCTCCTGCAGAGCCTTCCTCTAGCACACACCCTGCTGCAGACTCGACAATACAGCCTGAGAACCCTGCCCCGGCTACCCAGGACACCACTGACAGGAAGCCCACCAGGCCAGCAGCATCGCAGGACTCACAAGTGGCTGAGGGAGCAGGTCAGCAGACATCTGTGAGGGACACGGGACCCCAGTCATCCACAGTGGACTCAGAATCACAGGTCACTTACACCACATGGTCTCTCTTAGGCAGAGCCTCCGTGGGGGTCCAGTCTATCATGAAGAGGAAAGAGGACCCTATAGACCCTGAAGTCCACCAGAGGAACCTCCAGTTTGTGGGAGTCAATGGCGGGTGAGTGAATCTCCAGCCCCCGGTGACTCTTAAGTCCTTCATACTGTAATACTGACTCTTATGAACAGGGGGCCTGAGCTTGCCTGCTGCCGAGAGCTGCGATCAGGCAGGCCCTCACAGTTAATCCCTTGCATCAAAGCATAAGGAATATAGGATAGAATCTGAAGTAAAGGAACATGTGCACCTTGCTGAGACTCCTTCAGTGGCTCTGGAGCCTGCGCAGGCCAACTGTGCCCTCAAACAGCACTGACTGCAGATCCAGCGGAGGCCGTGACGGTTGCAGTGTGGCATGGGTAGAAATGGAGGACTGTGGGCTGTTGAATCCCCCAGTGAGGGGCTGGGTGTGGATATCAGACACCCACTTAACCTAACATGTGACGTCCTTCATCCCCAGTCTGAAATGTAGAGAAACTAAGGACGAGAGGTCACAGCAGTCTCTCCTACACACATCCTAATCAGTGTCCTTCCCTGGCCCCTTTAGGTATGAGTCCTCCTCGGAAGACTCCAGCACAGCAGAAAACTCCGAACATGAGAGCACAGAGAACGAGGGCCCAGAGCCACCGGCAAGGACTCTGAGCCCAGCTGACCACCCACAGCTCAGGCCTCCAGGGGCTGCAGTGGCCAAGACCAGTCTGGAGGGGTGCCAGCTCTCCCAGGAATCCCAGGGCATGCCTGCAGCTGAGGCGGCATCAGGATCCGACCCTGAGGAGGAAATTCGGTCAGTTCTCTGGGTGGGATGGTATTGGACAGGGTGAAGGATAGCTCATCCGCTGCTGCCTGGGCTCCGGCCATGCAGGCTTCCTGTCAGTCACTCAGGTTAGTCAGCCGGGAATTCCTGTCAGTCACTCTACTGACAAGGAGCACTTGATTTTTGAGCATCTCACCTGACCTGAGTGTTTTCTTCTCTTTTGAGACAGGGTCTCACTTTGAGCCCTGACTGGCTTGGAACTCATTAAGTAGACCAGGATAGCCTCAAACTTAGAGCTCTGCCTGCCTCTGGCTCATGGGTACATGTCATATGTATGCATACGTGTTTGTGGATGCATATGGGTATATGTGCATGGGAAGTCTGTGTTGTTTCCTTATCTTTCTTTTTATGTTTGTGTATGTGAAGTGTGGATGTGTGTACTGTGTGTGTGTGTGCACATGGGGCTATGTTTTTTGTGTCCGTGTTTGTGATGTGGGTGCAGGTGTTTGTGTAGGTACATCTGCACATATGTGTACATGGGAATGCCCAAGACTGGCACCCAGTGTCTGTGTGGCCATCACTGTACCTGTATCTATTCAGTCAGCATCTCTCCCTGACCCCAGGTGACTGTGCAATGCAGCTTAGCTTGCTGGCTTGTTCTGCAGATTACCTGTGTCTTTCACCCGCATGCTGGGTTTGCAGTTCCCTTCCACATACCCACCTGGAATTTCCGTGGGTTCTAGGAATGTGGATTCCTGCCCTCGCTCTGGCACAACAAGTCCCTGTCTACTGAGCCATCTTCCTACCCACTCCCTTTTTATTTTGAGATAAGGTCTTATTGAGTTGCCCAGACTAGCCTTGAGCTCACTCTATAGCATAGGCTGCCTTGAACATGCAGTCCTACTACCTCCATCCAGTTCCTGCGTGTTAGGATTACGAACAGGTGTACCCAGCCTAGTTTACGGGGTGCTGGGGCTGGAACTCAGGGCGTCATGCCTATTAGGCAATCTAACAAATGAACCTTGTGCCCATCTCCAACTCTCTGTACTTTCTCTGTAGAATTGCCAAGTTGCCCATGCTAGCCTTTGACTCATTGTAAGCCAGGCTGGCCTTGAACCTGCAGGCCTCTTGCCTCTACCTTCAAGTAGTTGGGAGTTCCAGTCAAGTCCACCAGCCCTGGCAATGAATGTACTCTAGTGGATTTGAAGCTATCCTAGGACACATGAGACCATGTCTCAACAAATTGGGAGAGGGCTCTCAGATGGTGGCTCACTGCTCTTCCAGAGGACCTAGGTTCAATTCTCAGCACCCATATGTGTTGTGAGACAAAACATTTTCTGGGAAGACACATTAAACCCCAGCTAGGAAGTCCATGACAGATAAAAGTACAGATACCACCAAAGTCCAACTTGGTCAACCAGGGAGTTTTATTGGGGTTACTTACAGGAATATGAAGGGCTACTTAAAGAATCAGAAGTGACTCACACATAGCTAGCTGCATCACTAAGGCAAACCCCAGCATGAACTACAGCTCACAAAGCTGGGACCCTGGAGCTCACTGCACACCCTGCAGACAGCTTAACAGACTGGAGAGTGTCCTTTCTGAGGGACTCTAGTCTAAACCTTTTCCAGGCAGCTTGTCTGTTTTAAGAGTCTTCTCCACAGCTCAGCTTCTCTTCCTCTGTGGGGACTCTCAGCTTTCATTGTTTACTGTGGAAGGAAAAGACATAGTGAATCTGATATGTTTCAGGGACTTCCTGAAGCTTCTTTGAGTTGTTTGCTTTCTGCTTATGGAGTGTCCCACAGAATGGAATGTTTCAGTCTTAGAGGAAACTATTAAACAACAATGTGACTGCTCACAATCATGTGTAACTCAGGGGATCCAACACCGTCTCTGGCCTCTTCAATAGGGCACACATGGTGCACGGACAGACAGACATGCAGGCAAAACACCCATACACATAAAATAACAATGAATAAATCTTTTTCTAGTTTACAATCTGATAACATTTCTTCCTTTCTCTTCCCATATATGCTGTTCTGCTCTCTTTCTTTTCTTTTTTTTTTTACTAATTGTCACTGCATGCATATATGTGTATACCTCTATATTTCTCAGTATAACCTGTTCAGTCTGTATAATGCTGCCTGTATGTATATTTTCAGGGTTGACCAAAAATAAATTAATCTTTAAAAAGATAATGATAACAGGAGGTGGTGGCGAACCTTTAAATCTCAGTGCGGGGAGAGGAGGGGCAGAGGCAGACAGAGATCTTTGAATTCAAGGCCAGCCTGGTCTACAGAATGAGTTCCAGGACAGCCAGGGCTACATAGAAAAACTCTGTTGTTTTTTGTTTTTGTTTTGTTTTGTTTTTCAAATCCAAAATGATGATGATGATGGTGTTGGGGAGGAGGATGAAATGAGGAACACCCATGTTGGGGAAGAGGATGAAATGAGGAACACCCATGTTGGGGAAGAGGATGAAATGAGGAACACCCATGTTGGGTAGCTCATAACTGCCTATAACTGCAGCTCCGGGGACTATCCCCGCCTCAGGAACTTGCAGTCAGGTGCACAGACACACGTATATTAACATAAACTTTTTAGATTTTGTCTTAGTTAGAGTTTTGCTGCTGTGAGCAGACACCATCACCAAGGCAAGTCTTATAAGGATACATTTCATTGGGGCTGGCTTACAGGTTCAGAGGTTCAGTCCATTATCATCAAGGTGGGAACATGGCAGCATCCAGGCAGGCACAGTGCAGGAGGAGCTGAGAGTTCTACATCTTCATCTGAAGCCTGCTAGTGGAAGCCAGTCTTCCAAGCAGCTAGGACTAGCGTATTAGAGCCCACGCCCACAGTGACACACCTACTCCAACAAGGCCACACCTCCAAATAGTGCCACTCCCTGGGCCAAGCATATTCAATCCATGACAGATTGGTTTATTTTATTTTGTACATATGAGTGTTTTGCGTGCAGGTAGGTATGTGCACCACATGTTTACCTGGTGCCCATAGAAATCAAAAAGGGATCCCCTGGGACTGGAGTGGGTGCTAGGAACCAAACCCACACCTTTTAGAGAAAAAGGTGCTCTTCATTACTGAGCCATCTCTCCACCCTTAAACATAAACCTTCAAACATAGATAAAGGGGCTGGAGAGACGGCTCAGGAGCTAAGAGAGCTGCCTGCTCTTCCAGAGGACCCAGGTTCAAGTCCAGCCCCACATAGTAGTTCATAGCTGACTGTAATGTTAGTTCCAGGGGATCTATAGACATATATAATTGTATATTATAATCATACATTGCTTATAATTGTATAAGCGAAACACCAATGCAGGTTAAAATAAATTTTTAAGAAAATGATTTAAAAGAATTCTGGGCAGTGATGATGCATACACATGTCTTTAATCTCAGGAGGCAGAGGCAGGGGAATCTCTGAGTTCAAGGCCAGCCTGGTCTACAGAGTGAGTTTCAGAGCAGCTAAAGCTACACAAAGAAACCCTGTCTCAAAAAAACAAAAAAGTAAAATAAAATAAAAATCTTTAGGCCAGGCGGTGGTGGCGCATGCCTTTAATCCCAGCGCTTGGGAGGCAGAGGCAGGTGGATTTCTGAGTTCGAGGCCAGCCTGGTCTACAGAGTACCCTGTCTCGAAAAATCAAAAAAAAATTTAATAAATTAGTAAATTTTTAGAAAGTAAAGCAACATAATCTCACTCCTCTTCTGTTTCTGGCAGGATGGATCTGAGCCCTGACCTCATATCAGCCTGCTTGGCCCTGGAGAAATACTTGGAGAACCCAAATGCCCTCACGGAGCGAGAACTGGTACAGAGTACCCCTGGGCACATTCCCACACCATACCCCCGCCTCAGGGTGTCTCTGCACCTACTTAGTGCCAACCCAGACACCAAGGGTCTAGCTTGATGGTGGGTGGGGCTTAAGTGGGTGGAGCATGAGCCCTAGGATTGTGGTGGGGTCCACTGCTACCTGGAGACACCCTGGCTTCATGTTCTTATCTTTGGGATGTTCAGGAGATACTATACTTTCATTTTAGGAGCTGTCTATAATTGTGTTAGAGTCTAAGGGGGCAAGTGAACATTTTAGGGGTTATTTATAATTGTTTTAGAGTGTAGCTTGACTTGAACTCTGAATTTTCTTTCCCTGGGCTCCTGAGTGCTGGGATCAGACAGGTGCTACCTTGGCCAGTCACAGGAGCTTCAGGATGGTGGTCCTAGTCCTCACTCCCCACCCCTGCTGTCTCTGCAGAAAGTGGCCTATACCACAGTGCTTCAGGAGTGGCTGCGCCTGGCCTGCCGCAGCGATGCACACCCTGAGCTTGTGCGGCGACATCTGGTCACCTTCAGGGCCATGTCTGCCCGCCTGCTGGACTACGTGGTCAACATTGCTGACAGCAATGGTAACACTGCCCTGCACTACTCTGTATCACATGCCAACTTCCCTGTGGTGCGGCAGTTGCTGGACAGTGGTAAGCCTCCAGGCAGGACCAGCTTGATAGTCTGATGGGGGAAGCGTGTCTTCCCAAGCTCAGGAGAGAGTTGCTGCCTTCCTGGTCTAAAGCTCCCTTCACAATCTGATGGAGGGTTGGTGGACAGGGATTACAGCTTTTCATTCTGATGGGGGAGGCACTGTCTGAGGGAGCTTCCACTCTCTTGATGTAATAGAGGCAATACACCTTCTAAGTTGGATAGAAGAGAGTGTGCCCTTCAGTGACAGATGACAGAGGCTTTGTCTGATGAAGGAAGCTCTGTCTCCTAGTCTGATAGAGCAATGTAGCCAGTCTAGTGGAACAGAATTGTAAGGCTGTGCCCTTACAGTGTGCTGGGAAGACTCAGTCTTCTCCTTAGCAGTATAATGAATTCTGACTAGACACCAGGGCACTGGTATAGTCACTGAGGGTACCAGTGTGATGGATACTTTCACTGTGTTATGGATACTCTGTTTCCAAAGCCCTTGTGAGAGGGAAGGCCGTGGCCTGGAGCTGGGGATTGGACAGTGGACATGGTTTTCAGTCAGGGAAGAAGAAACCTGTCTTCCCTGGTCTTATGAAGTAGACAGACTCCCAGTCTGTGAGGGAGGCAGAGCCTGCTTAGCAAGTGCCAGGATAAGAAGAGATTGGCTACAAAAAGAAAGAAAAGAAAAATCTGGTAGCTAGGGAGATGGTGCAATGGGTAATGTGCTTTTCCTGCCAGCATGGCCATGGTTCGGGTCCCCAACACCCAAGATGAAAAGAAAACAAAACAAATCTAGGCATGGGTGAAGTCACGCGCCTATAAACCTGGTCCTTGAGAGTGAGGGGTTGGAGACAGGAGAGTCCTGGAGTTTGCTGGCTGCCATCGACAGTTCAGTGACAGATCTCATGTCAAGGATAAGGTGAAGAGCAGTTAAGGAAGATGTGTGGCACTGACTTCTGACCTCCTTGTATACATACAACAGACTAAACACACACAACGTTTCTTAAGACGGCATCAAGATGGCTCAGTGGGTAATAACGCTTGCCGCCAAGCCTGACAACCTGAGTTCGATCCTGGGGCCCACACGGTGGCTAGAGAGACCCAGCTGCTGCAAGCTGTCCTCTGATTTCCACAAGATGCCAGGGCAGCTGTTCCTACCCCAACTAACTAAATAGATGGAGAAGGTAGTTTAGGCAGTGGTTAGAAGTGGGTCCTACTCTCATGGGGTAGTTCCCAGCACCCACAGCTGCCTATAATCTACCTATAACACCCTCATAGGGACTACACAGACACACAAGTTAAAACATACAAAATCTCTTTTTAAAGTAATGTTTTTTAAAGAGAGAACAAACAAAAGGAGACACAAACCAAGGTACCTGGCTCCTGAAGACACTCTCTGGACTCCACAGCGTGTGAACAAGTACATAGAGACCTACTCCGCTATCCTAAACAGAGGGAGGGGCACAATCCCCAGTGCTCACTGTGGTGGGCCAGCCTTTAGTCTGATGGCAGAGGCTCATGCTCACCCTATCTCTCCCCTCCCCACACAGGTGTCTGTCAGGTAGACAAGCTGAACCGTGCTGGCTACAGCCCTATTATGCTCACTGCTCTGGCCACCCTGAAGACCCAGGATGACATTGAGACCATCCTCCAGCTCTTCCGGCTTGGGAATGTCAATGCCAGAGCTAGCCAGGTACGGGGGCTGCAGTGTGCCTTTATTTATCTAATTCATTTACTAGGAATGGGTTTGAAGGCCTAGGGACACTTTCTGAGACTCAGTTTACTCCTACTGACATGTGGGCCCCAGGGATTAAACTCAGGTCATCAGGCTTGGTGGCAAGTACCTTTATCCACTGAGCCACCCCACCTGCTCCTTTGTTAACTCCAGACTGTGGGCAAAGCCAGGTTGTGATAACATTCTATGTTCATGAGAACAGCTGTCACTCTATAGTTGGGTATTGAGACTCAAAGCAGCAGGATTATTTCTTCAAGACTAAAGGTAAGGGGCTGATAAGATGGCTCAGCAGTTAACAGCACTGACTGCTCTTCTGGAGGTCATGAGTTCAAATCCCAACAACCACATGGTGGCTCCCAACTATCTGTAATGAGATCTGATGCCCTCTTATGGGGTGTCTGAAGACAGCTACAGTGTAGTTACATTTAATAAATAAATAAATAAATAAATAAATAAATACCTTTGGCCCTGTGGGAGTGGGGCCTGAGCTAGAGGGAGAAGGGAGGGGGGGGTGAGGACAAACAAACAAAAAAGACTCAAGTCAAGGAGCTGATATCTGAACCTGAGTGATTCAGCCTTAGAGCAAGGGCTCCAGAGAGCTGGTGTATGTTGAGTGGGTTCATTCGTGCGTGTGCGTGTGTAGGCCAGAGGACCAGCATGTTAAGACATGTTTCTCACTAAATCTAGGGCTCACATAGACTGACTATCTAGGATCCTCCTGCCTCTGCCTCCCCAGGGCTGGGATCACAAGCTACACCCAACCTGGTTGTGCCTCTTTCTCTGGATGGAACTTGGGTCCTTTACCTACCTTTCTTCTCTTTTCTTTTTCTTTTTCTTTTTCTTTCTCTTTTCTTTTCCTTTTTTTGTTTTGTTTTGTTTTTTCGAGACAGGATTTCTCTTTATAGCCCGGGCTGTCCTGGAACTCACTCTGTAGACCAGGCTGGCCTCGAACTCAGAAATCCACCTGCCTCTGCCTCCCAAATGCTGGGATTAAAGGCGTGTGCCACTACTACCCGGCCCTACCTTTCTTTTTGAGACAGTGCCTTACAGTGTACCCCAGAAATCCGCCTGTCTCCCGAGTGCTGAGATTAAAGGCGTTTACCATCGTGGCATGCACCATCATGCCTCACCCCTATTTATTTATTTGGTTGTTTGGTTTGGCTTTTTTGAAACAGTTTTTCTGTGTAGCTCTCTCTGTCCTGGAACTCACTATGTAATCCAGGCTGGCCTTGAGAGCTGAGAATATAGGCATAAGTCATCATTCTGCTAAGCTTTATTATTTATTACTGTTGGAAGAGTAATGATTGAGCCTGGGCCCCCGCACCTGCTAGGTAAGTGCCATACCTCCCCCCCCTTTTTAAAGTTCTGTTTATTATTTTTTGCTTGTTTTGTTTATGTAGTCCTAGCTGCTATGTAGATCAGGCTGGCCAGCAATTCAGAGATCCACCTGCCTCTGCCTCTCTGCCTCTCTGCCTCTCTGCCTCTCTGCCTCTCTGCC